ATGCAGATATTCTCATTATTTCCAGGCCCTGCCCTGGACATTCCTACCTTGGACCTCTGCTTATGGGGTTCCTTCTGACTACACAGCTCCCTCCTCATCTCATGTACCCAAATATCATCACACTGTCAAGACCTGCCTCAAGTACTACCTTCTCTGTGAAGTCTTTCCTGAACCTCACTAAATGTTTATGGGCAACTCTTCTCTTTTGAAAGGCCATGCCACTAGACGTTTCTCTTAAGGCATTCATCTTAGGGATCCTTTTACAATACTTTGTCAACAATATTTATTGAGTGTCTCCTGTATGATAGGTATTTTTCCAGAGTTGAGATATAGAAATACAGACTAGAAAGTCTGTTTTCTTTGGAGCTATTATAGATGTGTTATTAAACAATTTCCTATCTTCCCACCCAAACTAGTTCACAAGCTTCTTGATGGCAGGAAAGAAACTTTAATTATGTAAGGTGTCTCCTATGTAGTCAATGTTCAATAAATATTTGCTCAATTAGATGTAGGCTTCCCTCTTATTTAAAGTGTCTCTCATTCTCTCTCCTCTTTTTCTCTCACCCCCCTCCTTAGGCCCTCTTTGTCTCATCAAACTATTACAAAAATGATGAATGGGATTGCCAACAAACTCTTAACACAGTACTCAAGGAAATTTCTCAGGGAGCATTCAGTATTCCAATTGCTGCAGCCCAGATCTTACCTGCCTTAATGGGAAAGACCTACCTGGATGTTAATGAAAACTCTTCTTGTGTCTATTCAGGTATAAGAATTAAATAGAAAACTGTTTTGCCTTTCAATATAACACCCAAAGCATGTAAGATTTAGGTGACGTTAGGGACCAAAAGTGACCAGATAAATCTCCAAAGCATAACAGTTCCTAAATAGAATTCAGTTCTCATTACATTTTCAGGGATTACAACCACCTGGGGATTTGCTCTTAACAGGGTAGTAGATACCGTTCTTGGTTCAAGCACTGATAAACAAAGTGGACTTAAACAATGTCTATCTCCAAAGGGATGATATAGTTTCATGATATAATTTCTGATTGTTGGATATGGGGAGATCCGAGCATCATTCCCATCCTAAGCCCAGTATAGAGGATCTGTATCATGCCTCTGACTTTCCATTATCCACACTGAGTGATTCCTCAGGGAAATAAGACATCTATGTGGAAGGAATGTGGCAGTATTCTGAGAAAATTGTAGTATGAGTCATTTATCCGAGCAAGGAATTTTGCAACAGGGTAGAAAGAATGGAGATGTTTCCTTCTTTCTCTATTCATTCCTGGTTCAGCCACTTATAGGTTCAGGGACTTTGGACAAAATGCTTAACCTCTAAGCTTCAGTATTCTAACATAAACAAGGGGAATGATAACAATGTCTGACATAGGTTTGATTTTGAAGGTTGGGTCTGGGGGGCCTGATAGTCGACCCCAACCCACTCAGCCCACTTACCAGGTTCTTGACTCCACCACAGGAAAGAATTCAAGGGCAGAGTCACAGTAGACAGTAAGAACACGTTTAATATAACAGATAAGAAACATAGGTTCCACAGAGAGAATGTGGCATAGCTCCAAAGATTGAACAGGGCCCACACCAAGTTTAACTCAGTAAGTTCAGTATGGACATCAAATCTAACACAAAAGCAAGAGAAACATATTTAAAGTTTAGTACAAAGTGCAGGCTGACTCAAGAGAGTGAGCAGCCCTGCTGAAAGTAAGTGTGATACAATGTAAAATAAACAAAACTCAGCCAGCCAAGTGTGGAATGCTGCCAAGAAAGTGATCAACAACCTGCCTGGGATTTGGCTTTTATAGTTTCTCTATATAATGAATATTCAGTTAAGGGGGTAGCTCCCAGTTATATAACATTTAGTCTTGCACATGCTCAGTCGGTCTCTTCCTGGAGCATGTTCATTGATCAGACCCTATCACATGCACCAGGTATATTCAAGAATATTCTCTGCTC